CTCGCTCAGTTCCCTTTTTCATCTCCTCCCACAACGAGAGATTTGCTTTAGGAGCTGGAATGTTGAGGTCACAGAAAATAGTGGATGAGATAAGAAACCTTCCTTTTAAAACGGACGTATTGTTTTCAAAGCAAGCTAATTTTACTCATAAACTCACATAGACTTCGATTTTTGCTTTCAACTCGTTCCTCGCGCTCCTTTCGCATTGTTTCCGTGTCCGTATCATCCACATAGGCTTTACCTTCCCGAAGGAGCTTCTCGCACATTTGCAACATCAACTCAAAGTAGTCGGAGGAATGAGTCCATCGATCAGGAATAATATTTAGCATAGCTAGATCTTCTTTTATCACCTTAAGAGCTTTCTATACACATATGTACAGAGGTAACCCTTTGAGTAAAACTAACCTTCTCAAAATGAGCGTTCTCTTTGGCAGGATTCGTGTCATCGAATCGCATTATCAGCTGGCCCTCGAAAGTTTGTTGGTAATACTGATTCAATAGAGCGGCTTTGGCGTGTCCAATATGCAGATATCTAGGATATTCGGAATTTAGCCATGGATTGACAGCGTCAGGTGAGGTGAAACTTCATACCCGCTAGCCTCAGGAGGAAATCGCACCACCACTTTTCCTTTCTCAGCACCCGGCAACTCAACGAATTTTCCCTCGTCCCGCTGTTTCTCTTTCGATAAAGGCTGGAGAAGTAAAATCAAACAATTTTTAATGGCATAAGGCAACTGTCATTGCTCGGCTAGGTTACTCCACATTACCTTTGAGATTTTCGCATTGGTGAACTTTCCAACCATCATATGGGCCGCGATAAATCGTTGATCTTCAACAATAGCGTTGAACAATGCAGAAAACTTCTCTTGTAACTGAATGAAAAACAGTGCTTCCATCAAAGTCACAAGCTTCAGAAGTAGGAGGCATACCTGGGGATTTTTGATTATAAGACTCCACAGGGCAACGTCACCAACAGTTACACGTTTTTCAAAAAGTGTTCCAGATTTACTGAATTGCACCGCAGACAGCACCTCCTCGTCTACCAGAAACCCGTCAACCACCTTTTCACATAAAGTCAACACCTCATCAATCTGAAACTCGATCACTGAAAAACCGCTGTCATAATCTTCTGAAAAGCACTTTTCCTCCCATTGATAGATCAGAATGGAACACTGTGAAAGCACGAGATTGACCCACCTTAGCGATCTCAAAACAAGTAGATCCGGTAAACTCCGGTAATCCAAGGCTCTGCGCAACAATTCTCGCAATCGTTACATCATTTCTTATGAGGGAGCCGTCCCTGGAAAAGAACTATTCTCTACAAGTTCGTTCTAAAATAGCAAGTGTTTAGGTTTTGTAATAGTAAACGAGAAATCTAGCAGGGAGCACGCTGAATTCGGCGCGTTTCTTTGGTATAAAAATTGTTTGTGAACCTA